GTTAATTTATTTATTTGTATTTTATGATAGTCATGCTTTTCCCCCAAATATCCCATGCTTTTCACCTGAAATGTATTTATTCATTTACTTTTTTTTTTTCAATCTATTTTATTTTATTGCTTATCTTTTTTTTTTGTTTTGCTTTTTCCCAAATATCACATGCTTTTTACATAAACTTCATTTTATTTATTCATGTATTCACTTATTTTTATCAGAATATGCATTGACTGCAAAATGTTGAGCAGTGAAGGACACACAGTCCTGCAGTGTAAATGGCTTCATGGATTGTCATGAATTATTAATGGGGTTTGCCTTAGGCAAAGTCCATTCTTACTATTGTGGTTTGTGGTTTATTATTCTGTCTTCTTCTTCTTCTTCTTCTTCTTCTTCCGTACACTTTTTCGGCGCGTAACTAGTCCCGCAGCTTTCGTCCCAGACCCTTGAAAGTGGGCTCAAATCGTGCGGCTTTATCGGGAATGGTGTGCTATGACTTTTATAAGGGGTGGGTGATTTTGGGGCCCCGCAACATTACGCCCAACTTTGACACATTATAGCGCCGGGTGTGAAATTCATAGAAATATGGGATTCACAGCATCTGTAGGGGGTTGCAGCCTAAGTAAGAACATACCCCGCAAGGGGGTATAAGTTGCACCCCTGGGGCTCTAGGACGTCCCAAAGTTTTCCCATTGACTTACATGGGCCCCATTGACTCCCATTCATTTTTCTAGGAGAGCACTAAACGCGCAGCGAAATGGGACGACCTATGAGGCGTTATAGCGCCAAGTGTGAAATTCATAGAAATATGGGACTCGCAACATCTGTAGGGGGTTGCAGCCTGTAAGAGAACATACCCCAAAGGGGGTATAAGTTGTACCCCTGGGGTGCTAGGACGTCCCAAAGGGGTCCCCATTGACTTTACATTGCCCCTTGACTCCCATTCATTTCTTGACTCACATGTCAATCACATTACATAGCAGTGTCATAGACTTAGGGGTTGGCTTATTTGACTGAGGCAACCAATCAGCATCTCAATATGATTTTGAAGCTCACAAGCCACGCCCCCCCAAACCATTTAAAGACCCTTAATAACTGCCCCATTGACTTAACATGGGGTGGGACGTCCCATTGCACATCCCATTCACTTCCATTATAAATGTCACACATCAATAACATTACATAGGAGTGTCATAGAGAAATGGGGGTGGGCTCATTTGACTCAGGCAACCAATCAGCATCACTATATGATTATGAAGCTCACAAGCCACGCCCCCAAATGGGTCCCATAGACTTCTATTATAATAGGGCTAGATGCATATCTTTGCTTTGCAGTGTCATACAGACTTGGGGGTCGACTCATTACACTCAGACAACCAATCAGCTTTTCATTATGATAATGAAGCTCTTAAGCCACGCCCCCAAATCCATTTAAATACCCTTCATAAGTGTTCCATTCACTGCCATTTTAACTGGTCTACATGCATAAGTTTGCATAACTGTGTCCTATAGCCTTAAGGGTTGGCTCATCTGACTCAGACAACCAATGAGCTTTTCAATATGATAATGAAGCTCACAAGCCACGCCCCCAAACTGGTCCCATAGACTGCCATTGTAACTGCTCTACATGCGTATCTTTGCTTAGCAGTGTCCTATTGACTTGGGGGTTGGCTCATCTGACTAAGACAACCAATTAGCATCTCAATATGATAATGAAGCTCACAAGCCACGCCCCCAAACTGGTCCCATAGACTGCCATTAAAATAGGCCTAGATGCATATCTTTGCATAGCAGTGTCATAGAGACATGAGGGTTGGTTCATTTGACTTGGACAGCCAACCACATTCAAGTTTACTCTGTAACCTCACCTATAGCAACAAAACAGAGTACCCTAGCAACCATTCATCAACAGCTATATCTCAGCATCAGAACATCGTAGACACTTGGGGATTGGCTCGTTTCACCCATGCTAGCAAACGGAACTTCCTATATGCTACACATGCTAGCAGTGACTAGCTACATGCTAATATTGACTAGCCAAGTACTGTAACTTGCTAAAAATGCTTACTAAGTATAAATATTTCATCAGGCATGTATGTGAGGCTTGCCTAGTAACCACCCAGGGTACCCTAGCAACTGCCTAGCAACCACCCAAATTACCCCAGCAACCACCTAGCAACCGCCTAGTAACGCCTTAGTAAGGGCCTAGCAACCACTCAGGACACCCTAGCAACCGCCTAGCAACGCCTTAGCAACCACTTAGAATACCCTAGCAACCACCTAGCAACGCCTTAGCAACCACCTAGCAACCACTCAGGGCACCCTAGCACTGTTGCTAGCAACTCGATTAGCATGTTGCTAGCATCATGCTAACACGATTAGCATAACGTTAGCTACATGCTAATCATATTAGCATGATGCTAGCAAGTCGATTAGCATGTTGCTAGCATGATGCTAACATGATTAGCATCATGCTAGCTACATGGTAATTATGTTAGCATGATGCTAGCAACTCGATTAGCATGTTGTTAGCATAATGCTAACATGATTAGCATCATGCTAGCTACATGCTAATCATATTAGCATGATGCTAGCAAGTCGATTAGCATGTG